GGGCCTTGGGGTCAACCTCTGCCCTCTGACCAACACCGACTGTGACGTGTCCGAGAGGTAGGAGGAGAACCACCGAATAACGGTGCCTCCCACTCCCACCTCTCGCAACCGTCGCAGGATACCATGGTCGATGGTATCGAAGGCCGCTGAGAGGTCAAGGAGCACAAGGATAGAGGGGTGACCCCTATCCCTGGCTCGCCGGAGATCATCGATCAGCGCAACCAAAGCAGTTTCCGTGCTGTAACCAGGCCTGAAACCCGACTGAAAGGGATCCAGATAATCGGTTTCATCCAAGGACTGTCGGAGTTGAGAGGCCACCACTTTCACAAAAACAACCTTCCCAACAAAGGGCAGGTTGGAGACTGGACGATAGTTGCTCAAAATGGCTGGGTCCAGAGATGGTTTCTTCAGGAGGGGTCTCACCACCGCATCCTTTAGGAGGAGCGGGAAAATTCCCTCCCGGAGTCAGCAATCGTGAAGCGGACTGGCTGAGCCGACAGCACATCAATCACTTGGAGTGGTGTCTACACCCGGACCTGTTTCAACAGATCGTGGGGAGATTCGGCAAACTGCAAGTAGACCTATTTGCCCACATTCCAACAGACAACTGCCAGATTCTTCGCCCATTATCATTGCCCGTGGGCGGAGGGCACGAATGGGCTGAGGTGCATGTGGCCCCGAGGACTGTTATACGCATTCCCACCTCTACCTCTCATTCCGCAGGTGGCCAAACTCCTGGCGGAATGAGCAGAGATCCTCCTGGTGGCACCCTCTGGCCCAGAAGGTCCTGGTACGCAGACCTTGTCAGTCTCTCCGTTCAGAAACCGTGGAGGATTCCTCAGGACCAAATCTCCCTCAGCCAGGGGGGCATCATCCACCCGGATCCCCAGTGGCTACAACTAGCCGTCTGGCACTTGAGGGGGACCTCCTGAGGAAACAGAACATTTCTGACAAGGTCATACAAACCATACAAGCGTCCAGGAGACCTTCCACCACTAGGATATACGATACGACCTGGGCTGCCTTTTCTATCTGGTGCAGAAATAGAGACATTGTAGACTTTTCTGCTTCAGTCCCTCAAACTCTGGACTTCCTACAGGAGGGTCTGGACAAAGGACTGGAGCCCAGCACATTCAAGCGTCAGGTTGCGGCCTTATCTACCATTCTGGCCAGAGGCTCATTTCGATCCCTGAGCCAACATCCGCAGATTAAAAGCTTTCTGAAGGGCGCAGTGAACATCAGCCCACCGATGGTTCATCGATACCCATCCTGGGACTTTCCCTTCATCTTGAGCGCCTTGACGGGTCCTCCATTTGAACCCCTTCGTACGACAAGCCTGCGCCATCTGATCATCAAGACGGCCTTTCTGGTGGCTATCACATCTGCCCACAGAGTGTCTGAGCTGGCGGCCCTCTCCGTCAGGGAGGACCTGTGCGTGGTTCACCCTGACAGGGTTGTATTGAGATTTGACCCTTCATTTATCCCTAAAATCAACTCTCATTTCCATAGAGCTCAGGAAATAATTTTGCCTAACTTTTGTCCTAGACCTTCTCACCTTAGGGAACGTGACTGGCGTAAACTGGACGTGAGGCGTGCCGTACATATTTACTTAAAGAGAACTAAGGAGTTCTGTTGCTCCGAATCCTTCTTCATGTCATTCCTTCCTGGGACGCTGCGCCGCAAGGTCTCATCTCACACCGTAGGTCGTTGGTTGTGCACCTGTATTAAACTGGCGTACGAACATCAAGGCAAGTCTCCTCCGACCAGGGTCACTGTGCATTCTACCAGGAGTGCGGCTACCTCAGCAGCTTGGGCGACCCAGACATCTATTCTAAACATTTGCAGGGCGGCCACGTGGGCATCCCCCACTGCCTTTATCAAGAACTACAAAATAGACAACTTTGCCTCAGCCGAAGCCTCCTTCGGAAGAAGGATCTTGCAGAGGGTCGCTGAGACTCAGGAGGCTCTGGTCTCTGCCCGCCCTGGGACACAATAGCTTGGGCATGCCCCATGCTTGGACTCTCCAAGCAGCACACTGGAGAAAGACCGTTGGTTTACCTGAATGGTAGTTCTCTGGGCACTGCGAGGAAAGTCCAAACCCACCCAGGCGGGTTTTCAACCAGAATACAAGACTGTTTATTGACTGTGAACTCTTATCATATGGTTGTCTCTTCGTTTTTAAACTGGAGATAGGGAGGCAAAGGGAGGTGTGGTCAAGAAAAATGTTACTCAGTCCAAGGGCAGATAGGCTGTGTTAACCCACGCTTGGACTCTCCTCGCAGCGACCAGAGAACGACCGTTCAGGTAAGCCAACGGTCTTTCTACCTAATTCATTTCTTGTACTGTTATTATTACCACAGTTAATGAGTAACTCTTGTAAATACATGGTCAAGCTCATATTTTGGCAACATTTTTGGAAATGGTTTGCCAATCTCTTCTTCCTAAGATTGAAAAGGTGTGATTGGTCAGTTTCCCAGGTGGGTCCCTTGCCTAAAGCAGTTTTAGAACTAATGGTACCCGATGAGGGGTTAGCCTCTTTGATAACTCCCCAAAACTGATGCAACCCTTGTATATATAATTTTCTTTCAGTGTTCTCTTATTTACTATTAACTTTTTTGTTGTCAAAGTATACATTTTCGAATCAGTATACTATTATTGATATGAATATTTATATATTTTTCCTAGATGTGTTTTGCTAATGGGTGTGAGCAAGCTAGATGTCTTATATAGGCGTCTACTTCTCACTAAACTTTTCATTCAAGGATGGGGAAGACCAGAAGACTTAAAAAGGTAGGTTATAAACAGTTTTTTAGAAGTAAATATTTGATCTTTCCATTTAAATCAGTTAAAGTAAACAGTGCAATTATATTATTTGTAAGAACAATAACTTATAGTTGAGCAAAAATGTGAACATTGACGAACTTCCTATAGTAGAGTTCATTAAAAGTAACAGTAACAGGGTGTGTGTGAAATAAAAGTAATACTAGACCTGTTACAGACAATTACTGTTTTAATTACATCTTTATCATATGGAGTCTTTTTTTGTTCTTAATATCTGCAACTAATTCTTATTTTAACAGAATATTTGAATTCAGAAAGATTATTGGAAACAGGGAAAAATGTCAGAATCTTGTTCCAAGGGACTATCCTGTGCACATTAATAAGGTACTAAAATGAATAAATATGCATGGATTTATTATTCATAACCACCTATTCAAAACAGAAGGGTTGACAAAAAGAAACCTTGTATTTGATAAGATATACATTGTTACCAATCTAGATTTATCTATTTCACTACAGTCATCTATGATAGCCTACCTTACATTTTTTCCGTCTCATGAAAAGTTGCCCCAGGTGGACAAGATACTAGAAAACAAATTAATTTGCGTTGATCTTAAACTTTGCTGGAAATTAATTTTAAAATGGTATCAGGTTAACATAATATATTTGCTGTGTGCACAGATTAATATTGGGACAGGTAGTTCTTAATTAACAGTGGTAATTGGAAGCAAAATTTCTGTCACTAGGTGATGTAGTTAAGGTACCATATCATATGACCTTATTGTTTGACAACAGGAACTGATAGGATTGCTGTTGCTAATGTTAAGGCAACAGCAGGTTATTAAGTGAGGACCTTCTTGCAACTTCTTGCCAGTTTCCAACAGGCAAAGTCATTGGGGAAGCCAGTAATAATTGCAAGACACAGGCATGCTCACAGGCAAATTGGTCATCACTAGAGTCAACTCTGACTTGTGGGCACACAAACAATGTGAACATAAATTTCTCAGGTTATTCAGAAGAAGCTGGCTTATAAAAATAATTTAAAGGACCTGGTGTCTAGTAGTATGGAAGTTTATGCTACTATGGGAATTCTCTAGTAGAAACTTGGAGAAGTATTAATCTTCTACACAAAATTCATTCTTTAGGCTTAGCAAATCTTTGCAAAGTTACAAATTTTGGAAACCTAAAATATGCTTGAGTAGTTCTGAGGTGATATAGTTTTAAGAAACAGCTGAATATAAGTGAAAATGTGCTTATGAGTTCTTTACTCACTATAGTTATTGTTTTTATTATGAAACAGTAAAACAGTTTATTATGAAACAGTAAAAGCCAACTATGATAAAAAAAAGCTTTTATTTATATTTGCTTACCTCAGTGATTTGATGAAGTTACCAACAGCAGTCCAGGCTTTCATGGAAAGTATGATTGCTCCCAAACCAGTAGTGTTTATGACTGCTGTCTTTCTATTACCATGTAGCTATTCAACAGATACTCTGGATTAATGAGTCTAGATATTACCATGAAATTATTTCATTGTTATAAACCTCCTTCATTCATTAGTTAGGATGATTATGAATGTACATCTTATTAAATGTTTCTACTTTCAAAAATTTCCTAAATTACATTTTGAAAGCAGAATCATTTCCTTTCTCTCCAAATTTCTCTTGCCCCCACCCAAACTAACAAAATGCTATATCAACTTGAGCTCAATCACCACTAAAGCAAGAAAGATTTTTCCTGCTTGTAAATTGGTGGAGATGGGATTTGCTTATGAAAGGGTGAGAAAAATTGGCAGAAAATAACACTGACAGGATTCAAATCATGAGTTAAAGTAGTATACCATCAGAATGTGGTTTAGTTGGTTTACAGTACCTTAATGAGTTATAATGTATTTTAATATTTGTGAGCCTGCTTACCTCTAGTTCTAAACTAACATAGCTTTTGTGAACAGTTTACTTCTGTTTAGCAGAGCTTTTATTTTTACATGAAAACTTTGATAGTGACTGTAAAAATATAATGTTATGTATAGGTTGAGGAACAATCAGACTGCAAGATCCTTGATGGACACTTTATTTCTCCTTTGGCACATTATGTTCCTGATATCATGCCATCAGAATCAATTACTGCAAGGTAAGAATAAATATATACTATAAGTTAAAAATTATAGAACTAAATAAGTTATGGACTAAATATAATGATATTGTGCAAGGTATATGAGAATTATCTAATTCATTTAAATCATTTTTCATTATTTTCTTTCTTTTGGTAGATTTCAATTTATAGTACCAAAGAGATGGAACAACAAGTACAAACCTGTTTGTATTCATTTAGCAGGCACTGGAGACCATGTAAGCTTCAGTGTTGTTCAATAATGGTTTCTCAGTATTGCTATAGTAGTATTATTTAATTTAACTTTATTTAACTGTATTTTTAGTACTTTTGGAGACGACGAACTTTAATGGCCCGTCCAATGATCAAAGAGGCCTGCATGGCTTCATTATTGTTAGAAAACCCCTATTATATCCTTTTTATTTGAGTAGTTCTTATACCTTTGAATACAGAAGGGAGAGAAAGTGTTATCCAGTGACTCAGATATAAATATAGTAAATAGGAGAATTGATTCAAAATGTGTTAAACATAAATCTGTTTGATTTTGAGATAGATAAGCAGTTTGTAAATTCACTGAATGTAGTAGTAACTGGAGTTTGAGAGTCTTGCATTGACATTTTGCAGCTCACCCTTATGGCAAATCCCCACACTTCATTTTTTAAAGGTGTAAATTAAGGAAATTAAACGTTCTATCCTAGTGAGTTAGCAATCACTGCATTAACTAAATGTACTTAAAGTAACTATTTTAACAAGAGGCTTATTTGATTTAAAGTAAATAAGTAGAGATGTTAAAGAACTTTTCAAAATATTTCACAATATTTTCTTTAACTTGCATCTATCTGTACATGGGTACAGGAAACCTAAGGATCAGTTGTAAGTATTATGATTACATAATCATAATAATAGCTTTTATCAGTATGTAGAAATAAACTTTACTTCTAATGTATTTTATTCTAATGCATAAAATATGATCATGTTACGGAAAAGCATTTCAAGACATTGTAATAGATAATGCAAATATTGCAATTCATCCATTCAGTGACTACACATTATTGGAGCTTGACTATGAAATGATTTGAGGAAACATTTTAACTTTGAGTATTTTTTGCCAGAATATTTAATCTGATTCTTCAGATCTGACCAGTGCTCCAGTATTACAGACACTGATTCTGCTTTAATATATTGTCCTAAATTTACTTATTCTCAGCAACTAAATATGATCTGATTCAAATGTGTGGGTCCTATATTTCATAATAAATATTAAAAATGATTGTTCTTGATGTGATTTCCTTTCTGTTCCTGCTGAATAAACTGGTAACAGAAATTCAAAAATAATCAGTTTCTAAACAGACCTGCAAGAATTATTATTTCTGTGCTTTCATCTACAATGCTGGATTTTGTTCAGACACCAGATCTATCCACTATTAGAACCTAGAAGAGGTACAGTTAAGCTTATTGTTCCTATAGAAAACAAACATGCTATACTGTTGCTTAGAAAAGATAGTAATTTACCTGCGAAAACATGACAAAAGTTGTTCAAAATCGTAGTACATTAATACTCTATGGCTTATATGTGGTTAAAGTCCATAATGTTTTCTTTTGTCATGCACAGGTACTATGTCAATACAGTATATTCTTTCTTTATCTAAATGAAAAAAACACACTTTTATTATCCATCAATAGCAATTATATTGTTTTGAGATCTTGTTTAAGTGGCTTATTCTATTGAGTGGCTTATTCTATTGATCAGTGGTTCCCAAAGTGGATGGTACCGCCCTGGTGGGATGACTTAGAGGCAAGGGGGGCAGCGGGGGGTGCTAAGAGGCAAGGGGGACGGCAGAGGGGGCTCTAAGAGGCAAGGGAGATGGCAGAGGAGTGCTGGAGGTGGCCCCCTTGCAGGGCGCAATTCTGCCTGTGGCTCTGTTGGCCGCCAGTCAGCTGAGCACTTCCGGCCTGGTTCTCTCGCTTATCTCAACCACACAGTCCATCAGATCTCTGCCCAGTGAATCTTCCTTTGCTTCTATTCTAGCTACCTCTCCCACGCCCCAGCCAAGGTATCTATTCTTTTCCCAAGCTATTTCCCTCCATCTGGTCTCTCCCTTACAGAGCTGAGCATAGCATTCAATTTAAAATCCAGGGCGGGAGAGGGGGGCAACAGAGCCGCCAGGAAGAGGGAAAAAAGTTTTTCTTTTTTCTAAACTATTTCTTTTTTCACGAGAGGAGGAGAGGGGGAGGGAGGCGCAGAGGGAGGAAGAGAAGGAGAGAGAAATAGAGGAAAGAGAGAGGAAGAAGAGAGGAAGGAAGTGAGAGGGAAAGAGGAAAGAAGTGAGGGAAGGAGGGTGAAAGAAAGTGAGAGGGAGAAAGATGGAGAGAGAGGAGAATAAGAAAGGAGAGTGGGAAGGGGATAGGGAGAGAAAGGGGGAAAGAGGGAGGAGGAGAAAGAGAGGAAGAGAGAAAAGGAGAAAGAGGGAGGAAGAAAGGTGAGAGAGACAACTGAACTTTACTTATGAAAAAGTGTTAATTATGTCAATGGAAGAGATAGGAAACTGCATTAGTGATACATATATGTCAATATGTTGATTTGTACTAAAATGTTTAGCTTAAAGAAGTTATAAGGAATCACAAATATGTAAGTTAAAAGTGTGGAAAATGTAATGTATGTGTGGATGACCCTTTGCATGAGTTGTATTGGGAAAAATAAATATATTTTTAATAATAATTAAAAAAAGAAAATGATTCCCCAAAGAGGTAAAAGGCTACATTTTGCTAGAGGTATTCTTTGCTTCCAATCTGTTGAGGAAGGGGATTGGACTCCATTGTCTATATTTCCCTTTCCATCCCCATGGTTCTTTAGTGAAAATATCTATCTATCTATCTATCTATCTATCTATCTATCTATCTATCTATCTATCTATCTATCATCT